TCCTAACCTCCCTTATTCCTTTTAGTAATATTCTGCCCTGGTTTTTAGCTATGCATATTGTTGTGTTGATGGAGCCTGAACTTCCCAGTCTCCTTTCATGCTGGTGGGCTAAATACTTGCTGAGAATATGAGTACCAGTGAGGAATGCCTCTTCTGCATCACTTCCCTCCCTCTTGAGGACTACAATGTGAATACGGTGCTCATAAGCCAGCTTCAGCCCAGAGGACCACCTACCTCTGCGCTGTTACCCGAAGAGAAATAAATATCCACCCCGTGATAAACTGGGACCCGGCCTGGATTGACACAAAACGTTTCCCTGGTGATGTAATTCACATGCTCCTTCTGGAAAGACACTGGCATTTTCAACAGAATGCTTAAACAACGTTCACATAAACTTTAATTCAAGTAAGACCTTTTCTGGGAAGCGAGGTTCCCATCCGCTCTGCTGTCAGCCAGTGGTGCTAATGATCCAGAATCAGACATTCTATTTTTCTTGTGTTACACAATGAGTATCTAACCATTCTTTTCCCTAGAATGGGGAAAGGACTCTTTGAACCAAGTTGGTTATAAGCCCCTTACCTCGTGGCAAACTTGAAGTACAACTTTGGCATTTGTTCCTAATTGACTTATCAGAAGACTTTTTTGAGCCGCTGTAATGTGGGCCCTCTTTGTTACAGTGGCTTAGTGTACCCTAAGAGAGAGAGAGAAAAGGGCCATCTTCTACCCACCCCCACTGGGCATAGAACCCCCCTTGGGTGGGGCCCTTTCCTCTTTGGGCCCCCACAAGCGCTGCCCAGCGCATGGCCTGGCCAGAGTATGCACCCAGTGACTACTGAATTTGAAATCGAAATCAGGGCTAGTTGGGCCCATATTTGCTTCTTCACCAGACCATGAGGCTCATCCAAGTGATCATTCAGATCTTGAATGAAGGACTTTGAAAAACACCAGCCATACTCAGTATGCCAAAGGGGAAGGTGTTTTGCCCAAGCTTCAGAGAGCCCTGGGGGAGAGAGAGAGAGAGAGAGAGAGAGAGAGAGAGAGAGACGGCCCAGGAGATGGAACTTAAGTGACCAGTTACTGTTGCCAGGCATTTTATACACTCTGACTCATATAATTCTCCCAAGAGCCTGCAAGGTGGGTATTTGGAGTAAACCTCAGCAGCCTTTGCCTGCCCGCCATCCACGGGGGTAAAAACAAACAGAGAAATGAACAAAAGCCAGGAGGGGCTCCGCATGGACCAAGAACAACGATGTGTCATGAACTGAAGAGATGGGCCCATTGTGCCTTCTGCACCCCTGAGTCCTAAGTGGGAAATAAGGGGATGTCGGGGAACGTCCTCTGGGGCTTGGCTGGGGCCTGGGTGGACGGGACGGGTGAGGCCCGGCAGTCACCCTTCTCCACGTCCTGGTCCCCGGGTTCTAGAGGGCCACGGCACTAAGCTAGGAACCCAGCAGACAGGCCCTGCCGAGGATTCAAGTGTTTCCAATCAGCCAGGCGTGGGTCCTGGGTCCCCCGGGGAAGGACTGGGTTCCCTTTTTTTGGAGGCTCATTGTGTTCTGGAAACATGAAGACGTGCCAAAAACAACCTTACGAAGACCGAGGGGTATCTTAAGCGTTCACCCTTGCCTAATCAACGCTTTTAACACACACACAAATACAGGGCAAAACAGTTTTTCCGCTCACAAGGTAATTACAGGATTCATAAAGGATATTGACTCAGGGCATCCCATGGGATGCCGTGGGGAGGATGTGGTCTGAGCTGGGACAGTAAGACATGCTCGTAATGTCCCACGAATGTTCCTGGGCCTCAGTCCTGTCAGGGAAATTGTCATGCCTGAATACAGAACTGCACGTAGAAATCATATCAGAAGTCTCTTCGGGGTGGCGGGGGGGGGGGGGGGGGAAGAAGCGTCTTCAAGAATGCAAGGCCTGGACAAGCATCCCTCCATGCCTGAGGCAGGTCTGTGAGCCTGGCCTGAGCCCAGGAGGATGATCGGGGCTGACCCTGAGGCCAGGACAGGGGAAGGCGCCCCCAGACTACAAACACAGGGGCCCAGGGCTGCAGGCCTGACTCTGGCACCCACAAGGTGGTGAGGCTGCCTCTGCTGACGTCCTTCTGGCCCTTAGGTCTGGAATACGGGTCATCCCTTTTGCAGCGAATGGTTGACTTAAGGGCGCAGACCCCTCCGAGACGCTTGGGGCAGAGTTTGGAGCTGCCTGGTCCCTAATCTTTCCTCCCCAGGCCGGAATCAGAAGAGGGTAGAGAGGGAAAGGTGGGGTCTCAGGCCCCTAAAAACTTGGTCTGACCCTCCAACCCCACCCCCCCAGCCCAAGGGCCAGGCCCAGTCACCCAAACAGGAGACAGAGCTTCACAGCCACCGAGAATTAAAACCTATTGATTTTCCCCATTAGCTAGAGAACGCCATCCGAGTGCATTAAAACCAGGCAAAGCACCAGCATCGTGAATAATTAACGTCCACAAATGACAACCCATGGGGCCCAGGGGAGGGAGGAAGGGGCACCCAGAGGCTTGGGACACCCTGACCCCTTCTGACTCCCACCCCGGGGAGCCATAGCCTGGCCTAGCCTGCCCTCCCCTCCTCCTCCTCCGTCTTCTCCCAGAATCTTCACTCTTCCTCCTGCCTCCTCTCATTTCGTGTCTTCCCTTCAAGGAAAGACCAAGTCTCCATGGCAAGCAACCCAGGCAAACACTGAGCACTGAGGTGAGAGTCAAGGAGCCCAGCTCTGCCGTGTGTCACTGGGTGACCCCAGGGGAGTCTGCCTGTTTCTAGGCTCATTCCCTTCTCTGCGGAGTGTCAGGGTTAAGTCTATAACTTAACCTAGTTAAGTCTATAGGTCTACGGTCCCCGACAGGGACAGTGACTGGCCCAAAACATACAACAGGACTGTAGCAGAGCCCATACTAGAACCTGGGGCCTCCAGGCCATCCCCCCAACCCAGACTAAGAGGCAGCTTTGGGCAAATTAGAAATAAGTCACCCTCTCTGGATAGACCGGTTCCAAAAAGACACCCCTCTAGGTGGACTGATGTTAAGAAGGCACCCCTCAAGGGCACCTAGGTGGCTCAGTGAGTTAAGTCAGCTTCTAGCTATTGATTCCGGCTCACGTCATGATCTCCCAGTTCGTGGGTTTGAGCCCCACGTCGGGCTCTGCACTGACCGTGCAGAGCCTGCTTGGGATTCTCTCTCCCTCTCTCTCTCTCTCTCTCTCTCTGCCCCTCCCCTGCTTTATGCGCTCGCTCAACTCTCTCTCTCAAGAATAAAGTTAAAAAATTAAAAACTAGAAGGCACTCTTCAGGCTGACCAATTAGCAAAAGGTGACCTCCCCCCCCACACACCTCACACACACACACACACACACACACACACACACACCGTGCTGTCACGGGGCTAAAGAGACAAAGCTTGGCGGAGCAAGATAGGGCTGGATATCAGCCCCCACTCACCATCTGCCAGGATGCCCTGTGCAGTGTGCACAGCCTAAACAACGATGTGTGGGGGCTGTGTCCCCAGCCCCCACCTTTTCGTAGCCAAGAAAGTACCGCTCTGTCCTTCCAGCCAGTGGAATTCAGTTCAACAAATATAGATGTTTCCTTCCAAGCTTCTTCGCCCCCGTCCACCTCCTCAGCCCCTCAGCTGACCCAGGTTCCTGCTCCCCCCCTCTCCCCGCCATCCTCCACCCACAGAGCCCCGGGAGAGGAAGCCCTGCAACAAATACTCGCTACATCTCTGACCGCCTTGCTCTGGCACCATGCCCCCTTACCTATCCTTTGCTCCCCTCACTCCTTAAGACCCAGCCCCGAGATAGTTCCTGCCTCTGGGCACTTGCACCTGCTGACCCCTCTCCCTGGGTGGTCTCCCTCCAGATCTCTGGCTGCTGCTGCCTCTTCCTCCTGCTGGTCACAGCTCCAGGCCCCAATGTCACCTCCCCTGGAGGTCTTCCCTGAACACCCTAGCAAACCAAGTCCCCGTCTTCAGTGTCTCCCACACCTCCCCGTTGTATTTTCTCCTAGCCCGGTTCACACTCCAAATTTATTTCTCCTTTGTTTCCTGATGTTTCCGGGGCCGCTGTGAATGGTTCCGTGGGTTGTAAGTTGCAGAGAAGGTGAGTGGGGCTGAAACCCAGCCTGTGATGGGCACCGCACACTGGTGCTAGACGGCTGCCCCTGCCTCGTTCTAATCCACACACCGGCTCCACGTAGATGGGCTGTGGCCCACTGGCCTCCGGCAGGCATATGCAAGCACCAACCCCCCCAAGGCAGGAACAGTGTCTGCCTTCTTCACTGCTGGGTCCCCAGCACCCAGCACAGTGCCTGGCACACAGATGCTTGAAACATTTTTCAAGCAAGCGAATTCGACCCAGATTCCACTCCCACCCTATTCCCATGCTCCTCCGTAGGACGTACGAGTGCAGGGCATCGGTCTCTGGGTCCCGTGGGAGCTGCATGCGGTTCAACTGGGGGGCCTCCCCTCCCCGCCCCGCCCCGCCCCCCAAGCCAGTGAGAGAACCGGACCCAAAGTCAGAGATGGTGGCTGTTCAGGGAATGGGGCGGGAGGATCCAGTGGCTTGAGGGGTGGATATGTGAGCGGAGGAGTCCCGGAGATACTCCCTTCAGCTCAGAGCCCTGACCATCGCAGGGGTGCTGTCCGGAGCCCCCAGTGCCCCCCTGGCTCCCCGGAGGAGGGGCGTATGGAGGGTGCAGGTGGCCCAGGCACGCTGACCGAGATCCCGATGGCCCCGTGCTGCACCAAGACTCACGGGCAGGAGGTGGTGGCATCTGAGAGGGTCCTGCCGAGAAGAGAAGCGAGCCAGGCTCAGGTGGGGGCGGAACTGAGGCGCCGCCTTTTCTTCTGTTCCACCCCCCCCCCATGCCTGCCCCGCCCCGGCGGCCTCCCCAGCTCTGGCAGGGAAGGAGTTAACCTCCAGGCTTCTCAGCGTGAATGTGGAGCTATTAATACCCACAGCCAAGCGGTCTGCTAGAGCAGCCACTGGAGTCGGAGGGAGCAGGGAGCAGGCAGCGGAGGGAGGCGAGCTCCGGGCAGAAGCCGGAGCCACAGCCAGGACTCCGAGGGCCAGAACTTTTCTTGGGGCCGGCGTGGGTGCCGTGCCAGCCTCACGCGGGCCTCACCCCCCTTGGAGCCTCAGGTCCCGATCCTCTGTCCTGGAGGCCACCCACGCCACCCACCCCAGGAGGGAAGAACAAACTTTCTCAGGGAAGCCACCTCTGCTGCCGTCTGGACAGGGAGGAGCAGACGTCTGGACAGACAGATGAACAGACGGACAGGGCGTCCGCCAGCCTGCCCTCCCGGTCCCGGCTCTGACAGGCGGCAGCACAGCGGGCGGCCGGGGGGCCGAGGGCTCCTCGAGGGGCAGCGAGGGGCCCTGCCGGACCTTTGTCTCCCAGCAAGCCACCTCTGAGCCCAGGCTCCGGCCGGAAGCCACTTGGCCGGGCCCAGCCCTGCGGGGCAGGACGGGCGTTCCCATCGGACGGAGCCACAGGCTCTCCCACCCACCGAGGCGACGGGTAACCTGAGCGAAAAGGCACAGGTGGCAGGTGGGCAGGCGCAGGGCCCCGAGGCCAACCGGCTGCTGACCCTGGAGCGCTCTGGCTCGGGCACCCCTGCCCAGGCCGGGGACGATGCTGCCGAGGCCACCAGCAGCCACCCCTGCCCCGTCCTGGAGCTGCCGCCAGCCTGGCCCCTGGGCTGTGGGACCGAGGATGTCCCAGCCTTTTGCTTCGTGTGCTTCCACAAGGAGGAGGAGGAGGAGCTTCTGGAAGAGGTCCCACTGCAGAGGTCAGTGCTGGGGGGGGGGGGGGGGGAGAGACAGGGCGAGGGCGAGGGGCTCGGCCCCCCAGGGCCCCGCAGACCTGCTCTGGACCCTCTGTCCGTCCACTGCCCACTACCCTCTGTCACCTCCCTGAGCCGGACAGGTCCTCACCTGGTTCTCACCACAGCTTCCGCCCTGGCTCTCCCGCTCTGGCCCCGCAGTGACTTTCCTGTCCTCTCCCGCTGCGGGCCTGACCCCCGGCTCAGAGCCCTCCGTGGCTCCCCACTCCCACAGGATGAAGTCAGCGTTTGGCGGGGTGTTCAAGGCCTGTGTGATTGGGCCGACCGCACCCACCTCATTGTGCTCTGCTCCCCTAGAGTCACCCCCCCCCCAGGGAAAACTGCCCAGGCTTCCCTCTCCCGGGCTCCCCACCGTCCAGGCCCAGCGGCAATGCCTCCTCCTCCAGGAAGCCCTCCAGGAAGCCCTCCAGGAAGCCCCTGCCCCACCCTGAGCTGAGAGCCACCTTTCCTCCCTGCAACGCACTGACACCTGATAATCTTCAGTCTTTGTTGAATTACTAAGTGAAGATGTCTGCGTGTGTGTGTGTGTGTGTGTGTGTGTGTATATACATATATGCTTGAGTGTGTGTGTGCGGAAAAGGGAGAGCGCGGCGAAGGGGTGAGAACGAAGGTTGGCGTGGCTGTGTGACTGGGCATTTGGGGGCGTGTGTGTGATTGTGCCTGTGCATACATGTTTGCGGGAGTGGGTGCAAGTTCGATGTACCTGTAGGAAAAGGGTTGTGCGCTATGCCCCGGCGAGGGTTCCTGCCCCAAGGGCCATTGTCCTTTTTGCCAGCTCTCCCCGCCCCCACCTGCAGGGAAACCCGGGCTCCAGCCAAGTGCATTACCCAAGCTGTGACCACAGACTCCGGGAATGGATGGAGAGTCTGCAGGGGACACAGGGGTCACCTCTGCTCCGGCCCAGCCCGCCCACGCCTCCGTCGCTGCCTGAGTCAGCACTACCCTGGGTGGGGAGAAGGGCGGGCTGAGGGTCGACCCAGGTGCCCCTTCCGGGCCCCTTTCAGGAGGGCGAGGGTGGGGGCTCCTGCAGCCTGGACCAGGTTCCTCCCTGAGTTTCTCTGTTGGACCCCAGTCTATAATTTTCCTTCTGTGGCCTCTGTCTCCTCATCTGTGGAATGGGAGATACTCCCTGCCATGGCTGTCAGTCCATCATTCAGCCCCAGCCCTGAAGGGGTCACAGCCTGCTAGGGGAGACAGACACGCAAACAGATCAGCGTGGCAGAATGATGGGCGCCCTGCTGAGGGTGGGTGCACTGTGCTCAGGGAGTCAGAAGGGAAGGGGGACCACTTCTGCCTGCAGGGACCCCAGGAGACCCTGGGGTCCTCCCCCAGGTGCCGAGTGACGTTGAGGAGAGGGCATCACAGGCAGTGGGAACGGGAGGAGCTCAGTCATCCGAGAAAGAAGGGGGATCGGGGAGAGGAGGCTGGCCGGGTCCAGGGGGCCAGATCACAAGGGGCCTTGACCGCTGAGCCCAGGACTTAATCCGTAGGTGGTGGAGTGAACAACGGGGAGGGCCCAAGCTGGAGACTCAGTGCGACCCTAGGTGAGTCCCACAGCAATGGACTTCAGAGAGAAGCGTTATTTTCATGGTGGGGGCTCAGAACGCCTGTCGAACGAATGATGATATGAGGACATAGGGTACCAGAGTCCTCGGAGTGGGTGGTTAAAAAACACACACTCCCGGGCCCCGCCCTGGAGACTTGGCGGCCTCGGGTCTGAGAGGGGACCGGTGTGGCGTTGTGGCCAGGGCCCAGGGGAGCAACTTGAGCAAACCACTCTTTGGGAAACTCTAGAATGAGATAAAACAGGCCTCACAGACAGGCACCAGTGAGATCCTGCTGTCCCTTCCTCCTCCCATCTCCCGCCTCCAAATGTCGGCACCCTGCAACGCGGGGGACTCCCCTCTGTCTCCTGCCCTGGGGATACAGCGTTTGCAGAAGCCAGTCTCCTTGCCAGCTGGTGGGTGCTGGCCCTTTAAGGCCCGGCGAGGGGACACCGCCAGGCTGGGCAGACAGTGACCGCAGGTGCCAGGTGGTGAAGCTAAAAATACTGAGTGATGTGGACACCCAGGCTGCGGGCTGGAGTGAGTGGGAGGAAGGCTCTGGAATATTTCTTTCCTACTGTAGGAGGGGCAGTGGGCGGTGAGGTTTGGTGGGGTCGCCTTAGGGGCTTAGAGGAGGTGTCCCCCCTACCCCCCCTGCCCCTCTCACCCCTCCTCCAGCCCCCTGGAAGGCGCCAGGATTCACTCCCAATAACCACGGCCATACTTAGCAGCCCTGGGTCCTGCTGATTCTCCTCCCCGCTTCTCTGTGACCCTCCTTGGGCCTCTGTAAAATTAAAGTTGGACTTTCTCAGGCATTGTCAGCAAAAGCCCCAAAGCCACCTCCATGGGACGCTTTGATGTATTAATTAAGGTGAGGCTAGCTGTTGTAACAAGTAAGCCTGGAAATCGCAGTGGCTGGACATGACAGAGCCCAGCTCCTGCCTATGCAAAGCTCCAGAGGGGTCGGGGTGTCGTGGGGACCGTGCTCCCCTCAGTCTTTCGGGGACCCAGGCTTCTCCCAACTTGTGACTCACTCGGCTGTCACCCGGGGCTTCGGCACCCACCGCCGGATCCCCTGCAACCACTGGCAGAGAAGGAAGAGAACAGGAATCACGTGTGAGGGTTCCTGAGCCAAAGCAGAAGTGGCCTATTTTGCCTCGGCCCGCGCTTATTGGCCAGAACAGCTAATTGCAACCGAACCGAACCAAACCAAACCAAACAAAACCCCTGGGATATGTAGCCCAGCTGTGACAACCTCACAGGGCTGTGGAAATGAAAAATTTGAAATATGTCGAAGCACCTGGCGTATAACAGGTGCGCGGTGTGTCTGTTGGGGCGATCGTTCGTTCGTTCATTCCACAAATTCCACTAGACATCGGAAGGTGAAGATACTATCTGTGTGCCCGTCCTGCTTGTATCCAATGGGGGAGCCAAAGAAGACATGATGAAACAGACACACAACTATGATCCAGACCCACTGTTAAGGAAATGACCAGAGGGATGGGGGGGGGGTGGAGGAGACACCCCCTTTGCATAAGGTGAACAGGGGAGGTAGGGACATTTCCTCTGAGAGCTAAAGAATGAGAGGTAGCCGGGCAGAGTGGGGGTAGGAGCATCCCAGGCCCGGAGAACAGACGCACCAAGGCCCAGGGGCAGACCAGAGGTAGGGGAGTGTGGGGACATATCAGGTCAGCGTGGCTCAAGCGGAGCAAATGGGCGGGGGGGGGGGGGGGAGTGACATGAGGTGAGGAACGGGCTAAATGACACGGGCGTGGGTGGTGGTAAGGGAATGGATTTTATCCTGGACAGGATTGGGACACCTCCAGAGGCTTTTAAGTGGAGGACGACATATCATCCGATTGACATTTTAAACGATCTCTCAAGAAGCTCTGGAGAGAATCAATGGCAGCTGGGCCAGAGTGGACGCAGGGTACCAGTGGGCAGGTCATGGTGACGACGGAGGGGCCGTGGCGGCGGCCTGGGCCAAGGCGGCCCTTGGAGATGGGGAAGCAGACGGCTTCTAGATATATTCGGGAGACGGGATTTGCTGGTGGGGAAAGCAAGAAAGGGATGTGGGACGAACCTGGGGTTTGGGGGTTGGAGAAATGCATGGGAATGATGGGAAGACCCAAGGGAGGGGAGGTGTGGTGAGACCTCTGCCACAGGTGTTTTCAATTTGAGAAGCACGTGAGCTGCCCAAGGGACGATGTCAAGCGAGGGCTTGATTCCGGAAGTCTGGGGCTCGAAGGAGGAGACTCTTGGCTGGTGACAGACCGTCAGAGACATCAGCAAAAAGGTGGCATTGGTAGCCGTGTGGTGCGGTCCCCGTGGCCAAGAGAAGAGCATCTCAAGGAGGAGTGAGAATGGGCAACTCATCTCAAAAATGCCAAACGGTCAAGGAAAATGAGAATGAGAATTCAGCAACACGGAGGTCGAAAGTGACTTCGCTACGAATGTTTCACGAAGGGGTGGAGACAAAAGCTGGCGGGAGCGGAGACACCTGGGTAAGACGGCGGCTTGAAGACGCACACCGAACTTCTCCGAAACCCCACGGAAAGGAAGTGAGTGGATTCTTCAAAGTGCACCTGTTAGTCCTGGGTTTGCTGCCATAACGAATCGCCACGAACTTGGTTGTTTAAGACCAAACACATCTACTATCTCATCCTGTATGTCAGAAGCCCAGCACACGTCTCGCTGGGCTAAAATCAAGGTGTTGACAAGGCTGTCCCAGGGAACTCTTTCTGGAAGAACTTCCTGAAAGTTTGAGGGGAGAGAATCGATCTCCCAGTCTTTTCCGAGGTGCCCTAGACTCCCTGGCTTGTGGCCCCCTCCCTCCCATGAGCCGGTAGCATCTCTCTGGTCCCGCTTTCTCTTTCTCTGATCATAGCCGGGAAAGAAAGGTTTTCTGCTTCTCCTGCTTCATGTGATTAGGTTGGGCTCACCTGAATAATCCAGGATCCTCCCTTCGTGCCAAGGTCCTTAACTTTAATCACATCTTATAAAGCCCCTTTTGGCCAGGTAACATACTCACAGGGTCTGGGGATTAGGACACAGACATTGGGGCGGGGGAGCATTATTCTGCCCACTACAGTACCAATCAGCAAAAACGGATACATTGGAAAGGAGACCACAGCAACAGAATTCTGAGTCTGGAAGGCAGATGAGCCTGTGATAACTGATTTAGCACCCTCATGACCGTGCACCGGAAGCGAGCCCCACTCTGGGAGTGAGAAAGGCAGGAATCTCCCCAGCCAACCCCACAAACCCCCCAAAGGCTCTAGCGTTAATGGGCTAAGTGCCCTCCGGAAATGGGAGTAGAGCTAAGGCCTGAGACAGGAGGACCGGTGTAAGAAGGGCCTTAATTCTCAGATTTCCTTCTCCCACTCCGCACAGCCCGGCGGC